AGGGGGGTTAAACGACGTTGCTATCCAAAGCTAAGAAAACTCTATAAATACTTTGGGGAGAATCAAAAGGAGGAATCTGCCAGCGTTAAGGGGAGAGGAAACAACTGCCACTTTGGAGGCTCTACCAAGAGTTGGACAACTGGCATCTCAAAGACCCTTCCTTTTCTGGCAAGTGAACTCTCTCTTTCATTTTCCCCCCTAAAGAATGTGACCTTTAGAACGAGCCCCATTCTTTTCAAACTGGCTAGAAGCTCAGCAGTATATTTCATTATTTACAATGCTTACAAACTTCCCTTCCTGAAATTTTAATAAGAGGTTTTTAGTGTCAAAAGCCAGAGATTACAGGCCATCCCATAAGTCACCCGTTTTCTGTTTTTGTTTTGCTTTTTCAAAGAAAGAGAGAAAGGAAGGGAAAAAAACATAAAAAGAAAGGCTTTTGAGATCACACAGCTGTGTCAGAGCAACAGCTTTGGAATCAGGTACCAAGGACATCTGCAAATGGCAGGAACTCGCCCACAACTAATTCACAAAGTACAGCTTGCAGATTAGACACTAGCACTTCCGTGGGTGGCTGTCTGGTCCTTATTCCATTGCTAAGGCCAATAATACAACAATAATATATACACACATGACTCTGTACGTAGAGCAACTTCATCTGTTCAAAAGGCCTTTGTACAATCAAATATTTGGACAAATTGGAATACCACAAGGACAGCCATGTTCGCGGCACTAAAAAAGAATTAGCCATGCCCACATATACTAACAGCTCAACAGTTCCTACTTCTTTGAGTATTACTGCTTAGTAGCCTTACATAACCTTACATAAATCCTAAAAGATGTGACTTACTCTGGAAGAATTGGCGAAGGGTTGTTCACTTGACGAAAGCCACCAAGATCACTTTCTTGGGGCAATTCAGAACACCCAGACTTTTTCTGGCACCACCCCCCCGCAAAGACTCAGGAGTATATTGTCAACACTCACAGCAAAATTTCAGCAGCAGTGCATTTTATTAACTTCGTTTTAAAAATGCAATAGAAATGAGAGTAAAGAGTTATGTTGTCAAGACCACACTAGGCAAAACACAACCTTTTAAAACATATTAAAAGGGGACCAAAGCTCCAGCTTCTCCAGTGATATTTCTAGCAGCCCTCAAGAACCAAATAAATAAATAGGCCTTAGCTACAAATTTTTCCTGCCCTTGCCGTACTGAGGTCACAGAATGCATTAAGTGGGCACACAAATCAGTAAAACTCATTGAGGGGGGCTCTGCTACTCTGCCAAATCACTTAATACACGTTTCTCCACAGAGTTCTATCCATTTGGCTATAATATTTAGGACCTGCCTAGGAGTGTGAATCACACATTATGGAAGTAACTTTGTACCATCTTTTATGTGAGCAAAAGAGGCGTGTGAAAAGGGGACAAACTGGGCCTAACTGTCCTGGTCTACTTAGACCAAATGTTGAATGGAAACAAGTAGATAGAGTAGGGATTAACAGGACGCTCCTCTCTTTAAATAATACACAGAATGCTAACTAGGTGTGTTTTGGGCAAACACGTCAACATTTGTGCGTTTTCCCTCTCCTCAGACATTATTTACGAAGCAGGGGAATGAGGGCTGTGGGGAGGGCTTCTGCAATTATTAATATGTCACATACGAATATCCATATGTTACGGATGTGCTGTAAGGAAGGGGAGGACACAAATCCAAGCCCCCCCACCAACCCCCCTAAAAAGCCCCCCAAAGAGCAATTTTGCTTTAATTTGGGAGAAAAGGGTAGAAGAAAAACTGCATTCAATTTTAATACAGAAAGCAGATCAATTTGCTTTACAGCAGCAGCAATACCCACAGCCCGCATCACAGGTAACTGAAATAAAAAGCATCTGAGACACACACACACACAGAGACACGCAAGCTATTAAAAATTAAAGTAATGCTTAATAGCCTTATAATGGCTTAGTTATACACGTTAGCTTATATAAGCTCAGAGGAGACAAACCTTGAAAGGAACATTAACTAGACAATAAAGTAAGTAAGTGCCTCTGGGGGATGCTGGCAAAGCAGAGGTAAAATGGAAAGCATGTGCGGAGAGGGTGGGGGTGAAATGCTAGAACTTGCAGCTCTTAAATGCTGTCAAAAGGAAATTAGCGTGAAGTTTCAAATACCTCAGGGGCTTGGTAGCCTGGACAGACACTTTTTCCTTTTCAACATACTTAAAGCAAGAGGATTAACGGTTACAGTTGTTCAAAACGTTGCTCACTCCTGATTCAATCACTCTAGCTGTGGCTTAGCATGATGTGTGAATGCAGTCACCCAAACCTCTTTGTAGAATGAGGATTTGACCCTTTCCTCCATTTTAAAACTACTTTTTACCTGTCTAGTCCCAGTTCTTGGATGATGATAGATTACACAACCAATGTAAATATGGAAAATCCTGCCCAAGAATGCTTTTACACATTCATTGTTGGAGCCCCATTTTCTTTTTACCTCAGTTTGGACCAACAAGTTTATCACCTATTTAATTTTATTAGTCTAAAGTTTACTGTGAACCTATACTTGACTTTCTTCTTTGAACTGCTCTGCTGTAGAGAAAGTATACAGAAAAGAGAAGGACTGATTATTCTTCCTTACTATTCTGATTAAGTTAATTTCTTTATTAACTTTAGTGGGATTAAAGACAGTGCAGCCAGCAGGTATGAAAACTTCAAACTCCCTCAGCCTCCTGACTTTTGTTTCTCTGTTTTAGAGCATTTCAGAATAGAATATTTCAAAAAACATGCAACACACTGCCCATTAACTCAGGGCTGCATATGGCTGTTTTCCAACTGGCAGCAGGTCTTCCCTGAGATAATCCCACCTCCCCCCACCCCCAATAAAGCTCGGCCATGCAAAAGCCTTTTAATTGGATGCAGAAACCCAACCTGCGGCTTTAGATATGCAAAGCACTAGCGGCAGCATCTGGCTCCTGCGTAAGAGATGCCATAACTCAAGTCTACTTGAAACATAAGAACACGTTCAAGCCATCATTTATTTCTTTACACCGTACCCCATTAAACCATTTATCAGTTCGTAAAGAGTAACAAGGAAGCAGCATCGGAGCCCTCTGCTACTCAAAGAAGCTTCACTAAATATAAAGAGAAGCTATTTTTTATTCTAAGGCCTGTATTAGTCCCGCAACGTATGTTGTTCCCTGCTAATCTGACCAGAGCTGGGCAGATGAAACTTAAAACTCTCTGCTCATCACCCTCTGCAGACAGGGTGATGGTTGATATTGCTCCCGCCCAGATGCATCGGTATAGTACAAATCAACCCTGATACTGGAAAAGCAGCTACCAGGGCTTGAAGTTACACCCTGGAGCTTCATTTATGACAGTCTGTCTACCTAATATGACAGGCTAGTTTTTCAAATGAGTGCTAGGGCTGGCTTTGATTCTGTATCATCATGATTACCAATGATGTCTTAAAAGGCATGACATAAGACATTTAAGGAAACTATCTAAGGAAACTTTCTTGGCCTCCTCAAAATGTGACAGGCAGGCAGCTGGGATGTACAATCCAACCCTTTGAGGAACCACAAAACAAGATGCACATGTTTCACTAAGGGGCTTGCTGAAGCCATAATGCACATTTTTTAGGATTATAAATACAATGAGAAATGGATGGCAAATGTTATAAATAAAAAAGGCAACTTATGGTGTTTTTATGGCATGCTTGATAGCTTAACACACTGTGCCGGCCCAACTGCAATCTATTCAGTTTGCCACAGCATGTCTGAACCAAGTGGGGAAGTTAATTTGTACTTCAGCTATTTATCTCTCTCTACTGTTTCTGTAGTTATTATTTACATTAACAATTTAGATCCCAAACAAGTAAGATCGCCCTTATAATCTAAGTCAGACTGATGCCCAGATTTTACATTAGTAAAATACATGGCAAGGCGAAAATAACATAGCAACAGCTTGCCATTCAGATGCATCGGTATAGTACAAATCAACCCTGACAACATAAAAGGTTGCAAGGATCCTTATCCAAGGGAGCCACCTTGTGGAAATCACATCTTCTCAAGCAGAAGCAAGAAGCTCACAATGACTAGTATGAATGCTTGTCTATACTATGAGCTCCCTTGGAGAGCAGACTTGGCAGGGAGGTGTCATCTCTTTCTTCTCCTGATTTAAAAAGAGCACAGAATATCTGTGTTCTTGCCAGCTTTTAGGGCTCATCAACCCCAAGGACAGCAATCTGGACTCAAGACAAGCACTATGAAATGCAATAGCTCCCCCTCACCACACACTTTTAAAGACCAAACCATTTGAAGACATAGGCAAGACAAAGCAAGGTTGCATGTCTGAATGGTTCCACCGTGGAGGGAAAGACCTTGCCTATGGAAACCTAGTGATACAAAGTTTCATCTTGCATATTCTGCACTGGAATAAAAAAATGTTTGATAGGGTGCAAAACGTATAATGCTTTTGCATTTGGTATCTTGAAGTCTGTTGCAGGCACGGTGAAATCGAACAGGACAGATTAATTTGAGATACGCTGGAAGATGTCAGAGCAACCAGGGGAACGGGTGGACAAGTGGCAGCTGAGACCACAGCAGGAATGTGGGCATGGCAAAGTCTCAGAAGGGACTCTCCCTAGTTTCTTGGGCTGTAAAGGCAAGGGGGGAGAAATGTACCTTCAGACTTGGAAGATTGATGTCAGCCTTGTGAAGCAGTCCAGACAGGAAGCATGCCCAGATGAAGTAGCTCTACTTTATTGTAAGGTTACATTAACAGGATCTTGCAAGTCTGGAAGTACATTTCAGACTTTAAGTGGCTCAGCTGCTGGTAATCTGCTCATTCCCCGGCTTGCAGCTCTTCCCCGTCTCCCAAGGTCATTCCCACAACCGTTACAGAAGGGTCCTGAGAGACACAAAAAAGGAGCTGGTGGGACGCCTATGGCTTACGGGACAGCTTCCCCTTGGTGTCGACCAAGTTTCCTTGGATGGCCACTCACCATTTAATTCTGGAGGAAGGAAAAGGCGGTAAGTGCTGTAGATATCATTGGACATCTGGAGCTGAAATGCAGTGTGCTTCTTTAGGAGTTCAGCAATGTTCTCTTCCTGGAAGGGAATCTTCTCAAGAATCACTACAGCATCTGTCTCATCCCCAGAAGCACTATTCACCTACGGAAATAAGAACATAAAATAGTTCTCTGCTATACCAAACCAAAGACTAATTTAGGTCATTCTCTGATGCCAGCAACCACTAGCAGATGTCCTTGGAAGCTCACAAGCAAGACACAAAAAGACCAAAGGCCGTTCTTTTTATATTGCAGCAGACACTACTGAGTAGCACACTGAACAGCTGGCTGCAAATATATATCTATATCTATATCCATATCTATATCTGTGTGTTCCTATACAGTATATGTATGAGGAAAGTATCACAAGTATAATGATAGCTCTGGCTGAAATTTAGTCCAGTGTTTCTTACCTTTTAAACCTTTACCATCCACTATCATGAATATTTGATCCTTAATCCACAAGTTAAAAACTGGGATATAAAACCAGGATTCAGATAAAGCATTTTTTTTTCTGATATACTGGTGTAGATTGGACAATCAGATATGAAACACAGACCTCATGCGTAAGCTGAGTGAAATCTTTCTGCTTGATGGTCATCAGTCAACTCTAAAACCCTAAAATCCTGAATGTGAATATACTTGTCTGTGTAGATGTGAATTGGCAAGCCATTTCTATGTACTTTGGAAGCCTTACTAGATATGTACAAGTACTGAAATATGTAAATTAAACATTTCTCAAGCATGCTAGCCTAACAAGTAACAGGGAGCTTACAAGACTGACAGAATATTTAGATATTTAAGGGAGAGGAGAAGAAACTAGGGATGATAAGATAGAGGAGGAGGACTTGGTCTGCACAAGCCACTAATAAGAATTTACTGTATGTTTTATTACAGCCAGTCTCCTGGAAAGATTATTAGTGTAGAAAAATTGTGTGCCATGATTAACCTTGTGATACACTGTACTGGGATGAGGGATGGGGGAATGACTCATCTGTATCTACTAAATCTGACCTTGGCTATTCCAACAAGAAGCACATTACCTGTTTTTGCTGGTGCTTTCTAACTGTAGTTTATCGATCGTTCGCCCCCCTCCCCCCATTTAATAGCTTTACTCACCTGCACCTTGAATTTGACCTTGGGCCTAATCCACCTTCCTTTTAGAAAAATCGTTCATCTAGAATTTACACTCTTCTTTTAAAATTATAGAGATGCTTGCAATTTCCTGACACTTCACTGTATGCCCTGGTTATCTCGAGGTGGATTTACAGAAGACAATAAAAGAATTAATCCAGCTGTATCCCCTGCACTCGGGAGAATCTGCCTTTGAAACACAATATAGCTGTAAATGGAGAATTAAAAGAGTACTTGCAATTTTCCGGTTCTTACAGGTCCTGAGTGACAAGTCCATCCATCTTATTTACAGCATTCAAGTTAACTGCTAGTTTGCAATTCAATTTCACTTTAAACACTAAACATGAAAAACTGATCTCCCAGCCAAAAGCAATAGATATGCTAATAAGAAAAATAATTAAATCTAGAGATATATATTTAATGCTTTTGTTTGGTGAAATAATAGCAATCTGGGCCCTCTACTACACAATTTCACTCAATTGCATTACTGTTATACCCCATTTATTCCTCACTGCCAAACCTGGAGGACTAGGCCTCATCTAGGACATCTCCTTTCCCAAACTCCGGCGTGATTTATTTGGTTTTGGCTTAGCACATAGTGGGAACCCATCCACTATGGTTTATTCAACAAACTATGGTTAAAGGGCTTAGCATGGTGTGTAAACCCATGTATTCTGATATGTAAACCCCATGTATTCATAACATTAGAATTAGTAGAGAATTTATTCCCAGGTCATTATCAATGATTCTTCCCAATATGTAGCCTGGGTGTTCTGCAATATATTTTGTCCAAAAGCTTTTTCTGCTGAGTATCTGCTCTGTAGCTAGAGTCTGAATAGCACAGGTGCTTTAGAGCAAAGAAGGAAGAACTAGGTAAATAAATGGTTCTGACCCATCAGTTGAAGTTAGACTAGAGAATATTTTGTTTCTTTCTATATTTTAGTTGTTACAGCAAGTGGCAGCATCTAGCTAACCTTGGCTGATCTTGAAAAAGTACAACAGGGTAGGATCTGGTCAGTACTTGGATGGAAGACCACAAGAAATCCCACTAGATTGTATGCTAGATTAGAAAGTTTAGAACAGTGTTTCTCAACCTTAGGAACTCTAAGATGAGTCGACTTCAATTCCCAGAATTCCCCAACCAGCACGGCTTGCTGGGGAATTCTGGGAGTTGAAATCCACACATCTTCAAGTTGCCACGGTTGAGAAACACTGATTTAGAAAAACAACAGAAGAATGCAATGGCAAGCCATTTCTGTACTGTTGCCAAGAAAATGGAATGAACATGTCCATATGATTACCAGAAGATGAGCTTGAGGGAGTTTTTACTATAATTACCTCAAATTCTTTCCCATCTTTGCCTGATACCTCTCATTATCTTCAAACTTTATTTATTAGTCTCCCAGAAAAACCAGAACACAGGTAGGATCCTGTCTTTAATTTAAGTAGTTACACCAAAGCAATTCAACTTATGTGAGCAATGTGTACAGGCCACCTATTATCAAATCTGCATTTATCATACTTTAGGCTGTTTTGTTTCTTTTTAACTTGCTTCCAGGTTTGCTAATCATGAAAAAAAATGGCAAGGGGTTTTGCAGGATGCTAAAGACCTCACACCAGCTAAGGGAACTCTTCTGAGTTTAAGGATTTCAGTCTCATGTACAGATAGTCCCCAGATTAAGAATGCTTGGTTTAAGGACAAACCCTAGTTAAGAACAGAGCCCACTGTAGCAAAATTCTGAGTTAAATACACAATGATTCAAGATAATTACACAATACTACTGAAGATATGTTTGAAAATATAGGGAGTCCCCAGTTTAAGAGCGAGTTCCATTTCCAAGGTCTGTCCTTAAGTTGAATATGTACGTAAGCTGGAACAGTATACTTAAGGACCTTGGAAACGGAACTCACTCTTAAACTGGGGACTCCCTATATTTTCAAACATATCTTCATACCCATTTAGTCCTAAGAATAGAGATTCATAGAAAACAGTAGCCTGAGCCAAATTCTCAACTGTGTATATTTTCTTCCATGTTGTAAAACCACAAGGCATATTTTAAATGCTGAAATGTTTGTTTCTCAAACTTGGCAACTTTAAGATATGTGGACTTCAGTGGCTGGCTGGGGAATTCTGAGAGTTGAAGTCCACACATCTTAACGTTGCCAAGTTTGAGAAACACTGGTGTAGACTCAGGCTGCAAAAGAAAGCCCCTATTGCAGCTGAAACGCTGCTCCAAGCAAAAATCAGTCTCCCTTGTGCTTCTTTTAAGCTGCCTATTTATGAGTTGGACAGCTATATAAATCTGATAAATAAAAATATACGGAAACCCAAGAGATCAGACGCTCAGGGGTGCTATTCACCAGGAGTCTGTTCTGAAGTCTATGCACATTTTTATTTTGCGCAGGAGGTGATCCAGTTTTCCCATTTCTACTCCTAGCTTGAGCAGAGAAGCCTCCTGCTGCTTCTTTCGCCCACCTCAGCAAACGGCAAACAAACGGGAATCCTCAAAAATTTGGGAAGTGAAAAAGACCACACACCATCTCTGCACTAAATACGAGAGACCAGGTTAAAGAGACTTCTCTTTAACCTCCTCCTCTTCTCAATTATCTCCATCATCATCATTTTTCCAGTCCATCTTTCTATACCCACAGCAAGCAGATTCTGACAGCACTTTTTCCTAAGAGGGGTGGCCTTGGACCACAAATCCCACCACCCCCGTCAGCACAGCCTGTTAATGGGGGTGATGGGAGTTGCAGTCTGGAGCACCTTGCAGAGCGACCGGCTGCCGGAAGGACAGGTGTACAATGACGCCCCGCGCTCTCTAGCCTTCGCCACTATGCAAATCGATGACGTTTCCTTCCCAAGGGGCGGGGCGAGTGAGCCGTCGCCGGCTAACCCCGCCCTGGTCTCTCATTGGCCGCCGACGTAGCCAATAATTCCCCTACCCGCCCGTGGAGGAAGATCGCCTTTTCCCGCGCAGACTCCCTCAGCACTTTCAGCACGGAGAGCTCGGCCAAAGGGAAATCGCCGGCGGCCGGCCGTTCATTTTGGGACGCGGCAGACCCGTTCTTCCCCTCTTTCTCCTCACGCTTCCTCTTAATGGCGGGGGACTCGGCCATCTCTCTAGCACCGGACGAGTAGCGCGCATGTGCAGTTGGTTCAGCTCCAAGTGCGCGCCAGGTAGCGGAGCGTTTCGGTAGCCCCCTCTACCGGCCGGAGGACGCTACTACCAGGAGCAGATGGGGAACTTTCCGAGGACGCTTGCGCCTGCGCACACCCGTAAATCTTAGCTCCGAACGTACACTTACTAAAACTACTGTATCCGCGCAATAGTTTTGTGCAAGGACTTCATGGGGTTTTTTTGTTTTTTGCAATTAGTGCTCAGTGAATCTTTGATTAGAAATGAACCATGGAACACATTCCATTCAGGTACATTAAATTGTTTTAACAATGCAAGTGAGAATTTAAATCTCTGAGCTAAGTGCCAAAATCTCCATTATGTGTTGTTTAAAATACAGAAAGATTTTTTTAAAAAAAGATGGTTTCGTGGTTCATTTTTCTAAGCCTGACTATGCTAATAGGAAATACATGTGTATGTGGGTCTATACAATACCTTTATTTCAATTATGGCTGAGACAGTCTTTCTCAAACTGATGTGTTTGAGTTTAATGTCCATGCTGGTCAGTGGAAAATATATTTTAGCTGTGGCAAACTGCTGGACCATTTACATTTCTCAACACCACACTGAGAGCTTCCGCGATTTACAGAATCACACAATTTGCATGGTGACAACTGTTCAAAGGAAAGGCCATGCCTTGTGGCACCACTGTGTGTCTCATTTGAAATCCAGAAATGCATTCATGATGCTCAACTGTGCTCTAATTCCTTTATAATTCTATCCTGTCTAGGCGGACATTCAACAGGAGCCACATTTTATGGTGCAACTTGAGGCAGGCCTACTCAGAAGTAAACAGAACTGTGGGAATTGGATCAGGAGGTTGCTTGGAAATTTAAGAACAAATGCCTATTATATAATGACACTGAATTGCTCTTGTAGATATTAGAACTGCTGAAGTTCTAAATTTCCTCCAGTATTCAGTTTAAAGACGTTCCACTTCTTCTAAGGCAACCACCAATCAATCCTTAGCATGACTAAATAACAGAATATCAATAACAAAAGTGAATTGCAAGTCCAACAGTCTTAGAATTATTCTAAAGACTTTCCCTGTTACTTCCCTCTCCCTGACGACACTCTTGCTATCTATTTTTAAAACCAAACGTATTTGAAAGAAACACCAGCAGTACTTGATGCTGGGTCTACACAGTGCTCTTCTCACAACATTCAACTAAATGGCTTGGCTCCAGTTACATTTTGTAATTGAGCAAAAACTCAATCCGCCTGGTTGGTTTGCCTTAAAACTTGCCTTTGGTTCTGCAAAAGTTGAGGTTTCCGCTATAAATTCTTAGTTCTTACACAGGTGTCTGTACTAGACAAAGGCCTCAAAGTAGAGAAACAACAGCGAATGAAAATCACCATGGTTTTGCAATAACTTCTAAATGTAGAGTTTTGTGCACAACTTCAAAACTGTGCCAAATGCTTCATTTACTCAATATATACTCACCTTCCCATCAAAAAAGGACACTTAAATTGGTTAATGGCCACATAATTTAAAAGACCCGCTAAAACAACACACATAAAAAGGAGCTCTATAACTAACCCATTTATTTGCCAAAAAGGGATGCCTAAATAAAAAGGTGAAAGAAAAGGAACCAGTTCAGTCTGGCAGAGAATTCTAAAGTCTATTGAAGCAGCCACTGCAAAAGCCCTTTCTCATCTACTCATCAGACACTTTCTGTTGGCAATCAGTCCGCTTCTACAAAACTTATCTCCGGGCAGCCTCACAAAGAATATTTGTTTCTAAGAATTTGTTCCAAATTGCTATTTCAGCCCACCCCACTCGGTCCAGCAGAAGGGGCATGTTGCAGACCCCACCAGTCAAGGAATTTCAACTGGTGGGGTCTAGGCAGAGGGCCTTTTCGGCTGTGGCCTCTGCCCTATGGAACAATCTGCCTCCGGAGGTCCAGTGTGCCCCCTCCCTCATGGCCTTCAGGAAAGGAGTGAAATCCTCGCTGTGCCAGAAGGCCTGGGGGCCAGATGGGGTGCTCACACCAGTGGAGGTGGCTCATGGGGTGATTGACCTTGCCCCCCCCATCACCTTGAATGTTTTTAGTATTTATGTACAGGGCTTGTTGTTTAGATTTGATTTTTAATGGATTATTTATTTAACTGTTTATGGGGGAATTTTTAATTGTCAATGGGGTTTCTGATTTTAATTGTGAGCCACCCAGAGTCACCCATTGGGGGGAGATGGGCGACATACAAATTTAATAATAAATAAATAATAAATAGGCCATTATAAGTCACAACTATTATTCCAAACATTGCAGGTGAAGTCTACTACATTCCAGATACAATCCAGGACTCAGGCTTACATCAATCATGGGGATTGCAGCCACAATTTAGAAAGAAATCTCAAAAATTCTTTTTATTTCAAATTACACATACCACTCCTAGAAGGATCATTGGCTAACACTGTACTTCCAACAACAATTCAAGGTAATACTAACATTGGATGACCCAGGATTAAATTAATCCCCCGCTGCATCAACACAAGTTAGTTAATCTTTGTTGAATAAACTACGGTTAGCTGACTTTGCAGAGAACCAAAAAGGCTGGATTCACACATCTAAACCAAAAATATCAAATACTTCGGTTAACACAATGTGCAAATTCAATCACATACAACTCTTGTAAATCATACAAACATGGAAACAAAATCTCAACCAGAACAGCATTCTTGTTACCTGACAGACAGTTCATGGGGGTGTAAATGATAGAATTTGGATTTTCTCAAACTAATAATTTTGTACTGCCAAGAACTTTTAAAGGTAAAGCCAATCATGTCTACAAACTTAAGGCGGTATTATACTGTTTTTTGTTTTTTAACTTAATACTGCCATTTTATTAAAGCTATAATCTCTGGATGTAATTCGGATACATACGTATAAAGTCCCAGATGTTGCAGAAACCTTCTGTAGTCATCTCCAGCCATGCAATACAATGATGCTCAGAAGTCTCGAATTCACTGTGCCTGATGTTCTGAGAGGAGAACTTTATATTCAAGAAGGTAGCAGCAGGCTTGGAGGACCTCAAAATAAAAAAAGGGGGGGCCTCTATGGGTGGAGAAAACTGGAAACCAGCTGAATGTGGCTAAATGTACACAGCCACAGCGTGCTGACCAACTGTTAGGAATGCAGGGAAATGCCAAAATACATGGGAAGGAAAGGAAATGGGGCATTACAGAAATGGACACAACTGGCTGGCCCATGAACACAAGCACTTACTGCAACTCCTTGTTACAACTTTTGCTTCTCATTACGTCATTAGTGCCACCAGATATCATCAGAATTGTTAGTGTAATGGAATTTAGCTCTGGCTTTGAGAAGGAGGGAGAAGGAGAAGGAGGGAGAGGCAAAACAGTCGCTCAGTTCCGGGAAAGTAGAAAACATGACAGACTCAAAACAGCCCTGCCTTGATTTTCTTGTCCTTAAAAAGGAGCAGTGAAGGTTTCAGAAGGACTTTATTCTCTTGTTCCAGGAACAGTTGCATTCCTGGAATCCCTGCAGTGCTTGTTTCTTGACCAGGTCTACCTCAAAAGGCAAACAGGATAATTAAAGCATAACGCATCTCCAAAATATAGCAAATCAGAGTTTCCATCCCCAAACACAGACATGTAAACCTCAGCACCAAATGGAATCTGTCCTTCGAGTGGCGAATCAAGCCAACTTCAGTGGGAGAGGAAGCCTTCGCCATAAAGACTCCTTCTCCAGTCCCATGCGCTGAAAGACATTCCTTTGACCCTACATTTACTGTAACCAAGTATCTTTTTTTTTTCCCATCCAAAAGCGCAGTTAGTCTTTGCTTCTTGTGTTTTGACAGAGGTCTTGGAGATCTAGAGGAAACAGGAAAGCCGTTAGGAGCTTTGGATCCGATGAACGGGTTCACTAATGGTAATAAGCCATGGTTCATTCCGCTGCTATTTACTTAATAAATTACACCTGAGCTTGCACAATACGCTAAACCCAGACCAAGCAAACCATATTGTGGTTTTGATGGAAGATGCAAACCCATCTTCCCAAATCCTTGCTGACTGGCAGCACCTCCCCAAATTTCAGTTTTCCCAGGGCTTCCTAGAGATGCCATGAACTGTCCCCGTCATCACTTGTATGTGCTGATTACTTCATCCTTAAATCTACTGGCCCTGCAGCCAAATACCAGAAATGCTAAAAGACCACTAGCCCCTCTACTTTATTCAAGAATTAGTCTTAATTCTCATTAGCGAAGCCAGGAATGTGCAGATTTTCCTTGTGATCTCTTGGAACTGCACAACAGTCACGCTGGGCAAAGCATCAACGTGCCATAGGCTGCATTCTGTGGCTAAGCAAAGCAGAAACTCCATGTAAGCTGATCGTTGTTACGCTACCTATTTAAAATGACCCCAGGGTTGTTTGGTTCTTCCACATGAGCTAATTACCTGATGTAATGGAATATGGGAATGGCTTGGGGGGGGAACAGATGCTGCCTAGGGAACAATCAGATAAGAGAGGGTACAGCCTGCAGCTACATAACAGGCAGAGAAAGAAACTCAGAAAGGAGCCTCCCTAACTTATCAGGCTGTAAAAAGAGACTGCGGAAGATTCTGTTAAATGTAGCCTTACAATAAAGGAGAATTAGCTCATCTGGTTGTGTTTCCTGTCTGGTCTACCTAGCAAGGCTGACACCTGCCTCCAGTTCTTTGCCATAAACTCCCACTGGGATTATGCTTGGAATCAGCAATCTAAAAATGTTTCTTTTTCCTGGGCCCGTATGAAGCTGTTTTAAAATGAATATGTTCTTATCTGTCACTTTGAATGTATGGAGGTTACTGTTATATGTCATTGAACTTTTACTGTAAAGGCTCCTTATTATTTATGATGATATTATAATTAATTGTATAGTTTCAATTGTTTTATTCTACATCTGCACTGTACTTAGTGATAAACTACTACTACTACTATTACTACTCCCATCATAGAAAACCAACAAAAGAAATTTTTTAAGGTGCTGTCTCATCCCTACACATCTGATCACTCTGGAGGCAAAATTTCTTTGCTTCTCAAGGTACAAGTGAAAGAGCAAGACTACTATATGTGCAACTCTTAGTAAGATTTACTCCTTCCTCATAAGGCCTTGAAGCACCTTTAATTAGACTGAGTGACAACAATCTGCTGGTAAAGCTTACACAAATATATAATCTTTCATGTAAAAGTTTTTTCTTCTTCCCAAAAAGATCCAACCTCTTGGAGGTCAAACTATCATATTACACTCTCCTGTAAATCTATAATCAGCAGGAACGTTCTGGTCGGCCGCATTTTTCTTTTTATATGCATTTTTTCCCCTTTTTTATTTGTAAGCTGCCCAGAGTTGGGCGGCCTTGAAATATAAATAAATAAAATTATGTTTTGCAAGCAAAAAGAGCAGTTCTCTTTTTGTGAGCAGGGTCCTTGCACAACCCTATTTTGTAACTGACAAAGGAGAGGGAATTCACAGTGTAATCCTAAGCCCTGCAGAAGGAACCTCCACCAAGTTGCAGCAGCTTCCCTCTAACCAACTCAGGGCACTCCAGGTGTACTGGAATACACCCCTGGCAAAGAATTCACATGAAGCATATTTGCTTCAACTTTTTAAAAGTACCAGCCTTGTGCCAGTTGGATTCTTGGCTCAATTTAAGAAGTTAATTTTAAACTTGAACCTCTTAAGCATGCTAAAGGCCTAGAAACTAAGGGATGGGTTGCACCAAGAGCCTGCCTATGTAGCGAAGTATACTGGAGAGAATTGCTTTATGATAGTCGCTTGCAGAGGCCCACTGGTTAGATATGTAGAGAGGCTTAAATGTTTAAATGATGTCATTGTTATTTTAGCCTTTAAAAATGCTTAAATACTGCTTTCCAGCACAGAGGTCAATTTGAAAATATTAATAAATATGATAATTGAAAAGTTGTTTAATGCCTTTAAATTTATAGATGGGCATTGTGATGGTAGATGGTCCTTTTGGACAAAAGATGCCTATGAGTGTTTGATCAGGGGCCCAAATATGAAACAGAAAAATTCCAAAAAGATGTTGTAGGCAAGACATTTTAAGAGTTTCCAACAACTGTTTTCTTCTCATATAGAATGTTTAACGCTGTGCTCAATACTTTAATCCTTGCAAATGTATTAATAGTTAGAAATAAATCTCAGTCAGTTAGGTTCACTCCAAATGCTAAGCTAATTATATTTTGCTAATTACAGTGAGTTTGCAAATTAAAACAACTGACTCCCAAAACATGCCAGGCCAAAACCCAACAAATGGCATGAAGGCTAAGTCCAAAGTGCGAACCACTAAAAAGGGAAATGTCTTATGCTTACCGTATTTTCTAAACAGATAAAGGCTATTTTAGGATTATGGAAACTGGGACTTATAATAAACAGCAGGCCCTGGTTCAAAATTCTGGTTCACGCACTGCTCCTATGGTGGGCTGCCCCAAGCTCCAACTATACGGTAAGCCTAGCTAGAAGACCACAAGAGGCAGGAGCCTAAAATGGTGAACACCTGCCCATTCATTTGGTTTGGCATGTTGTTCAAATACAGTCAGTCCCTTCTCCCTGAGTGCCATCATGGCTAGGCGAGCATCTGAAGTTTTCCAAGCTCAACGTTCTTTCCAGTATATTGCACTAACTCTCTCTATAAGTGAGAGAAGAACTCTATGGAAGTAAATTATCCATGTTTCAAACTGAGACACCGTGAGATTTTCTTTTCTACACCACCCCAAAAGCAGCACCGTGTGTTTGTGATGCAAGCTCCACCCCATTTGTACACATGTGTAGCGTCACGGGGCACATACGAATGGGGCAAAACTTGAATCACAACAGTACAACTCTGCTTGCCTCCCCATGGATATTTCTACCACCCTCTAAAAACACCCCATCTTATTCATCACTTACAACGCATTATAGTCTCTCTGATTTGTCGGAAGCTGTTCTCCTGGAGCACCACGCTGATGTAATAAATGCATCGGAGTTCCCTGGGATAGTCCCTGCGGTCTATATCCTTCAGCACAGGGATGGTGCGCCCGTTTGCCATGGGTGCCTCGGTCAAGGCATGGTGCATCTGGTAGCAGCACCAGGGATCCTTGAGGAAGTTGGGTGTGATCAACAGCACCCAGCAGTGGCTGTTCTGGACAGCGTTGCACAGCTCCGTCACAACAGCACCGCCTGGAACAGAGTCCCGCAGCTGAAGAAAGCAACGGAAACGTTCAGGCTGGTTCTCCAAGTAGGCAACCAGCTCCTCCACAAACTCAAGGTCACCCTCATTGTGACAGATGCACACATCATACAACTTGCTCCATCGGGCGCTGTCAGAACTGCTTACGATTCGGGAGGTGGCGGTCACCAGTTTGGGGCTGTTGGTCAAGCTGCGAGGAAGAGAGCCAGAATTTCTCTGCAAGGGAGGGGAAGGGGATGATGGCAGATACACAGAGGCACTGTCCAAGTGTCTTGAGGGGTCTGGACTTTTCCTCGGTTTCTGCAGCAATGCCTTGAACCAGCCTGCACAAATCAGAAATACTCAGAATTTGGGGAAATCAACTCCTGAAGCTTTAACACACTACAGGCACCATCTCTTTTTTTACATTTTTTTTGGTAACACAACCACCTTTACTCTTAAAAAAAAATTTAAAAAAAATTAAAAGTACAAACTAAAAATACAAACTAAGAAGGGAAAGAAAAAAATCTATCTTATACTTATCAATAGTCACTGGTTTACCAATGAATTCACTACTGTAACATGAACAGTATGACAGAATCTCTACCAAAGTAACACATATTGTGGCATCCTTTGATTGATAGAGAATACTGCCTTTCCCAAAAGAGATAGATCACACATTTCCAACAACCATTCCTTGACATATGGAATAATATCACTTTTCCAATTTCTTAATATAATTCTGTTTGCCACCCCTACTACAGGCACCATCTTGCTCAGTTCAAGAGGCTTCATTTAACACAGAATCCAATGTCTCACAGTTGTCAGCCAAGTGTGTCATGCAACCCATAGCTACAACATGAAAGCAGCATGCACACTTTTTTTTTTTTTTTGTCTCTAGCCCTTGAATTTCAATTTTCCCCTTTTGAAGCACCCTACAATGAAAGCACCTGAGAGCTCTGGATTTCTGAACTAATCTTGAAGGTCTCTTCTGATATTCATCTTCCAGCCAAGTTACTCCTTGGCCTGGAATAAGAGAATTGATGGGGAATGTATGCACAGACATGGATGAAAACACAAGTTGAAGGACAAAATACACAAACAGAAAGAGCTGCATTCTGGGCCAGTCCAGAAAAGACAACTGTAATTCTTCTAAACAGGGTCAAATCAGAAACATATGCCTTTGGTTAATTATAAATTTTATATCTGCATTGAGTTCCATTTGTTATAATTTAGTGTATTTCCACTTCTCTGTGCAAAAGCTAGGATTTCAAAAGTACGGCAGACTGATATGGCTTGTCTGGACAATAGTCTCTCAATATTGTTTTCCTGAACCTTCCCTCTGCTCCTTTCATTAACACAGTCACCTTTTTTTTTTTTTAGTTTATATATCACTCAAGAATTATTCGGCTAGCTCAGTCTTCCTCACTCTGGTATTTTCTAGATAGGTTGGATTACAATTCCCAGAACGTCCACAGTAGAGTTACTGGCTGAAAACTCTGAGTTGTAGCTCAGCATATCTTGAAAGTTGGTCAGTAGGGGAAAACTGATCAATGATTTCTTTTAGCGAAACATCAACCTGGCTGCTTTCACACATTCCTGCAACGGAGCACGTGAAAGGAAGAGTCGGGGTGACATGTGGGAAGAGCACTGAATGTATATGCACGTAGACACTCCCTTACCTGCCATATCAACCAACGAGTCTCAGCTGTTAATCATCAACATCTGGCTTCCCTTGCCAATGGTCAGGCACAGGAGAAGCTTGCAACGGTGTGCTGGTCCCAAGTCACACCGGAATCGAGCTCTGCCCCACTTGCTGTGTCGTTTCATCTACTTTCAAACCTCAACAAGGAAAGACCAAAACAGAATTATCATATTTACCAAATTATAGGAGTTAACAGATCTCCTTCAGAAATGAATATGAAGACCTAAACATATTTTAAGAGCTGCTTTTCTCAGACTAGAGAAAATGGAGGAGTGGACTGTGAAAATGGCAGAACTTGCAGAAATGGCAACGTTGATTTCTTTGATTAGGGACAAAACAGTAAGTATTTTTATAAAAGACTGGAAACTTTTTATGGATTTTTTTTGCTGAAAATGGACAAAAATGAACTGGTGATCTCTGGATTTGCTGATTAAAAAGGGCTGAATATGGGAAGAAGGAAACTATCCCTGGGTTAAGAATGCCCAGGTTACAGATGACCCATAGTTAAGAACGGAGCCTATTGTAGCAAAGCTAAGAGTTAAATACACAATGGTTCAAGAATACTACTTATATAGTATTATACAATAATACTGTTCCAGCTTACATGCAAATTCAACTTAAGGACAAACCTTGGGAACGGAACTTCTTAAACAGGGAACTACCTCTAATGTAATTCTAGAGGGTGAGAAATGTTAAGTTTGTTTGTAACTGCTGTAAAGAATGTGATTGCTGGCTGGGGAATTCTGGGAGTTGAAGTCCACACACATCTTCAAGTCACCAAGGTTAAGAAACCCTGATCTAGGAGTGCATGAGGAATCAGGATGCAGCATTTGTTGATTATGTGCCCAGCCAAGGATATTCACCTGAAAACTGAAATCTTCTTTACCCCACTTATCTCAACCCTGTCTACACAGATTGCTAGAAGCAGCAAAGTCAGCTCTCAAATGACCAAGAATAGCTCTGGAGAATTCCAGAACCCTTCTACACACACCCTTCGGTATTCTCAGCCTTTCTGCCCAATTCCAAGATGAATTCCCCTTGGAGAAAAAAAAAAAAAAAGGACTTATAAATAGTTTCAGAGGAAACAAATCTGTTTCGTGGAAAGAGGTGCTTATCTTTGATATTTACACCCACAGACCACACTCACCAGACAAGAATGGAAACTGCAACTGATTCCATCCTTTTGCAAAAAGTTGTTTTAAAACAAAAAGCCATTTGAAAGGGGGGGTTCCTCATTTTATGACATTCTAAGGCAGCAATCGCTTTAAATAAAGGAACCTTAACTCTAAACCTATTTTGCAAAGCATAAGATTAATAAAGCACACTGAGATTTATTTCAAGGTTAATGTATTATAGAAATGGCACCTTTCTTATCCACATAAAACATCCCAAATCCATTATTATGGTAATTCCTGGACTAGCACATCACATAAGAGCACAGCAACAGCTCAGAAGTTTGCCCATTATTCTATGGCTCTGAGTTGGTAGAATACAGTAACCACATATAGGTGTTATTTTATGATAAGTTACAAACTGATTTTAAAACTTCTTAGAGAGAAATTAATCTCCGATACTGTATGAAGCTAGAGGTTAATAACTACATCCCAGGCTCTCCCTTACTCAGCACCCACCAAAAGTATTGGGATTCCTTTTTAAAGCCTGCAAATCTCTCAACACTTCTGAAAAACCCCAGTTCAAGAATTTGGCTACTTTAGATACAATCACGAGACGAAACCAAAAAGATCCGCTCGGTTCAGAACGGTTTTCTTTCAAGGCAACGTGCTGAGAGTCCATCTCAGCGTGGTCAGAAAACAATTCAATTAGGACAGCTGCAGTACATTTCACCAAGGGGAAAATCCAACTTTTAAAGGAAAAAAAAAAAGCTTGCGATTTTCTCCAGGATCCTGAAAAGTAGTTTTCCACCTATAAACGGCTCAACAGCCCGGCCTTTTTCATCTCGGCTCGCAAAACATTCTGAAGCGCCTTCCTAATACCCTCCACTTTTTTTCCCCTTTTTCTTTTTTCTTCTTTTTTGCGGAAGGAAAGAAACAAGCCTGGTGTTTAGACAGCCTGCAAAAGGGTCGAGTCGAGTTTAAAAATAAAAACAAAACTCTACAGTATTTTAAAAGGCAAACGGGACGAAGCTCACCTGAATCGCGAGAGACAGGATTAGCAGGAGGGGCCTGGGGACGGCGAAGAAACTGAGCCAGGCAAGAGGCGACCGGAGCGGGGGAGGAGGAGGACGGAGAAGAGATGTCCCCCCCGCTCTTTTTTAGGAGCGTAACTAAGAAGCTGCCCTGAACGCCGACACGCGTTTGAGCGTCTTCGACGCGCGTCCCCCCCGGAGCCAGGGAAGCGGGACCGAGCGAGGCGGGGCAGCGCTCGCCGACCTTGTCCGCCGCGCCAGGGCTACCGCTGGAGTCCGGTCTCTTTTCTTCGGCGACCGGGGACCGAGACGGCGGGCGAGCCTTCCCTTCCCCGGGAAGACGCCGAGGCCCTCGCCTACTTCCCTCTTTCTTCCTCCTACGACGCGCCCCGCGCTCCCTCTCCACCCCCGACGCACGGAAATCTGCGCGAGGTATTCCGGGTGGCGGATCCTCGCCCTGCCTGCCTGCCTGCCTGGCGGGGACCTTCTCTTCCCCTTCTTACTTGGCTTTCTCAGGCAGCGGCTGCCCGTTTTTCCCCCGCCTTCGCTTTGCGCTCTCCGGAGGAGGAGACGGCCAAGCCCGGCCGCCTTCGCGCCCCGCCAGCACGGATCGAGCCGCGGAGAGGTTCCCCCCAGCCGCCCGAGTTGCGCGATTCGCACACGGGGCTAAACTGTGATTGGCTAAGCCGGGGCTCTGGGGCTAGATTCGGGCGACACCCTTGGCCCGGAACGCGGGTTGTAACCGCTTTGCCCAAACGACACGCTACGGCGCGCCCAAATGCAACATCGTGGCTTCGATTTAGGCGAGTGCCGCTCCCCGCATCCTCTTGAATTGCGCGCAGTCTTTTTATTTAGGGGTATTTTTAAGCTAATTTTAATAATGGGTATTTGTATTTTTACTGTTTTTCCTGTTTTGGGTTTTAATTGTGAGCCGCCCAGAGTCACCCTCTGGGGGAGATGGGCGGCATATAATTTTAATTAATAAATAAATAAATGGTTCAGTGCAATGTTTCTCAACCTTGGCAACTTTAAGATGCGCGGACTTCAACTCCCAGAATTCCCCAGCCGGCTGGGGAATTCTGGGAGTTGAAGTCCTCACATCTTAAAGTTGCCAAGGTTGAGAAACACTAGTTTAGCGTGTGGTGCAATCCCAGCCGTGGTGTTGCGTGAAGGTTGTTGTTGTTGTTGTTTAGTCGTAAGGGGTACCCGCTAAATCCACACGAAGCCAATCGCTTTTTTCTGCCAATTTCAGCTTTATGGAAGAGCACAAAGGGTTCTTCAAGGAACCTTTGTCACTTTTTAAACCATTTTGGGTGCGGAAGCGTGGAATGCTCTCCGTTGCTCGCAGCCTGTTGGATAAAATCCATTGCATTCCATGGGGCTTACTTCGCCGCAGATGGCCCAGTAAACATATGTGTGAGCATTGCTTTTTGAAAATAAGAAACACAGCAGAAAAGCTAGGACCCTTCGGAGTGAAGAACTGGTACTCAGTAACTGCATTTGGGAGACACTTTCCTCCTGCAAAGAACATTTCTGTGGACAGTGCACGGTGGAAGCTGTTGAGTTGGCTGACCGTTTAACAAATCAGAATTGGTTGGGTATGCATAATACACTAAGCCAAAAAACCTCGTGGGTTTGTAGTGCACAAGGTTTATGGAAATACCAAATCATTTACCTTTATTTATTTATTTATTTATATTACATCTACTGCATGTGGTGGCTGAGTTGACATTGACTTTTGATGGCACTTAATCGTGTTGCAATTTAGCATCTATTTCAGAAGCTAAGCAGGGTCAGCCTTGGTTATTTAGAATGGTATTGCCTGAGAATTCAGTTGGCTGCACTGGCCAATTGAAAAAAAATTCCCAGAAGAAAGCAGTGGCAACTGCAATATTGTGAAGAACAGCATGGATACAGTCATCCAGGAGTTGGATGTCAAATGTGTCTTGGTTTCTTTGCTAATGGAACACTTCCAAAATGAACTCTTGGCAAGAAATGGGCTGCATTTCACACAAACTGGGAATGTTTTTTTTCTGTGGGAGATGGAGAAGAGAGTCTAGAAAATTGTATGATGCCAAGTACTGCGAAGGGAACTAGGAGGAGTATGTAGGTTTAGAAGATATTCAGTGACAAGCACAGGAAGGAATAGATCAAATTCTGTGTTCCAAGTATTCCACTATGCCTATGCGTATAAATGGAGAATGAAGTGGAAGAAGTAAGAGTCTTAATGCAGGAAGGCAAACATGATTTAATAGGCATTACTGAGACTCAACAGTGGAATGCAAAGATTAGAAGATGTAACTGATTAAAAACAAAATAGGCCAGCCAGAAGGAGAGGAGGAATGATTTCATATGTGAAAGAGGTACACATGTGTATCAACATCCAGAATTTGGAGCAGAAGGGTTCAATCAACAATAAGTAAGAACACAAGGAAAGAGAAGCAATGTAGATTGTGGTGGGTGGGTGCTAGAGTCTGTTAAGCCAGGCAGGTTGTCTGGATGATGCCCTCCTGGACCACAGTACACAACTTTTGGGGAGGAGAGACACAGTAATAAGACTTTAAGTACCCGGAGATTTGCTGGAAAGCCAACCCAGCCAAGACTGCAAAATCCCCCATGTTCCTGACTGAATTTACAAACAGTAAGATTTTCTCCCCAGGATTTTTCTTTCCTGGGCACTCCTTAAAGTGGAAAGAAGTGGGCTGTTTCTTAGGAATGATTCAGAGTGCTGGTTTTGCAAGATACTTTTGTCAGTAACTCTGTTCCTGCCAGCAGTGATGAAGGATTGTGCTAAAGTTGACCCCATCCTTTTCCTTGACCTTGGGTTTCTGGCTGAATCTCTAGTGAATGCCTGATGAAACTAAACTCAGAGCGTGGATTGTAGCACTCAGCAAAGAGCAGCATAAAGGATCCATTCATAAGTCTCTCTGCACTTCCTTCAAAGAAGAATGCTTCTCCATGTAGGCCAAGATGAAATGGTAGAACCCATGCTTTCCACACAGCTTCAACCCTTGCGTGTAGCACTTAAGCGAATTAAGGAGCAAGTAATGAAAAGGCAATTCTCTGCCTGAGTTTTCATATGAGGCTGCCCCAATTTTTAATTTACATTCAGATCTAAAGCCTACATGTTCCAGCATGGCATACTTCATCAATGTGAATGAGATCAGTTTCCTGCCTTGACCTAAGTAGCTCCTATTCCTCCTTCCCCTGAGTGTGACGTTGTCATCTCTTCAAACTCTTTGGACTTTGTAGGCATCGTGCAGACATAGTCTCCCGTTTCTCTAAGTTGTGGAGGACCACGAACAGCTTTATCCAGCAAAGAAGAGGAAATTACTATTTTAATAATAGAAGCGAAGGATTTTGAAAAAAAAAATTACAGCTGATTTAATATTTATGCAGTTCAAAGGGCAGATTAGAGGATTATAAATTGATCTGGACTTTCTGGTAGAAGATGAAATGGTAGAGCCCATGCTTTCAACTTAGACAACTTTCAACTTAGACATTCACCTGATGCTGTCCTAGACGCATGGCATCAAAACCATTTCAGAACTATTTCTATTCCATGGACTTCTCTGTGTGTTCTGTACAATGCTAAACTGATGCACCGGAGTACTTCTTTGATGGTAAGCAACCTCTTGCCTTACAATTGATCTGGAGCTTCTACAGACACCTGCTAAGAAACTAAGCCAGGAAGTTATTTGGAAAAATGATGGTCCACCCCTAGATTAGGCAGATCAGCATGGTTCAGAAGAAGAACATACAGTTCTGGAGTTTCTGGATGTTGTACACATTTATAAGAGGCTTTACCTTTTAGAAAGCCTCTTTTTTTCTCCCTTAATAATACAGCAAATAAAATGGGTATATGACAAAGTTCTTCTGCTCCAGTAAGCTAGAAATCAACGGCAATCTAAGTATTTCATTTAGGGATTAATTTTAAGAATGACAACAGAACAGATGTAGCAGAAGTCCAAGACCACACTGGATTGTTTTCCTTCTGAAAACAAATGGTGCATCATTGAGCACTGAAATATGATTATCACAATTTTGAAGAGAGTTTCCATTCAAAAGACAATATTGTTCACCGCTAGGCGTTTGCATTGTGCATCCAGATCACAGCATGAATTCAGCAGTTGCAAGAGATAATCCATCACTGCAACAGCCTGATATATCTGGGGAGGATATCAGTATCAAGATGGGAAGGGAGAGTCACCTCTCTGCAACAGAGTAAAACCATCAATTAAGTAAAACTTAATTCCTTAAACCTTGATCCTTTGGCACCTCTTTGAAAACAGTGAAAATACCTCTGCAAGATCAATAAGCGTTTTGGCTTGCCTAACAAGAATCTCACAGGCAAGAAAGGGAAAGGATAAATTATTTTGGATGACTCTCACTCAGACAAGAACTGGGAGTCTCCCCTCAGGGCCCATGGAGGTATTTATCAGTTCAGTACATATCAAAAAGCAGCTTGAAAAGCTACCAAAGAATTACTGAACACAGTTCTCCACTTTGGTTATTATATCCATTGTATCATTTAAGCATTCCAAAATATTATTTTTACAATAAATGTTATAAAATAATTGTATGTTCTGCAAAATATACATTTCAGTTTGGAAAGAGATTTCTTTTATTGGCTCACACTGTCAAAGTTGTTCAAAAATTATTTGCACTGTGATGCACTAACCTCATTACATCAGTATTCTATTCTGTAGATTTAAGATTCCAGAGTTTATATTAAAAATCAACATATTTTTACAGTATATGATCCACCTGCGTTGGAACAGAATGCTGATGCACCTTCTCTGCATCTCACACTGCATTTATGTCCCAATTGTAGCCCTTCCCCAAAACCCCATAAAATCTCAGATTAGGTACTTTGTAAGGGGACTGAAGTATGTCACTTAGGAGTAGCTTTCAGTTGGAAGAACAAGTTTTGATTTTCTATAGATTCTGTATATTTCTGAATATCAGTTGCTGGGGATTTACTAGGGAAAGAAGAGCGCCAAAAGCAGTGTTTCTCAAACTCAGCAACTTTAAGATGGGTGGACTTCAATTCTCAGAATTCTGGCTGGGGAATTTTGAGAGTTGAAGTCCACCCACCTTAAAGCTGCCAAGTTTGAGAAACACTGATCTAGAGGAACCTTGGTGATTACAGTTGCAGGTAAAACCTTATACTCAGTAAACCTCTATTTCAGTTCAGGACATCCTGTTCTTGCCCTGAAAGAGGGAGAGAGGGGTAGCTGAATAAGGAAGCAGACTGGTTCGGTTTCCTTTTGCTTCCTTTCAGCTTCTTCTACAACCATACAAATCATCTAGAACAACCTGCTGTGCTTCCTCTTTCTCTAATACAGACCTAAGCCAAGCCATGTGGCAGAAGCCGGAGCCCTGAAAGGCCAAACAGTGGAGGAAGGCGTCAAATGGGGAAAACAGACCTTTTGTCATCTCCTTCCTCTTTCTCAAAATTCCTATGTTGAAATAGAAATGCAAGCTCTAGTGCAGAGGAGAAGTCAAATGACAGTAGAGGAGGTACAGTTGGAGAGGGAAAAACCCCATCCTCAACAAATGTCCTTCTCTCAGTTTCAGGTTCTGTATGCTTTGATCACAGCAGCATCGGACACAGCCCTTCAGTTACCCTTTGAGTTATCCTGGTGCAAGATAGATCCGTTCAAATGAACTGCAGCTGTGCAGCATCACAGTCATAGCAGCAGCCCAGTAATCCTTCCCGTGCTGCCACCTAAGCACGTGACTAGGCCTGAGGGGGAAAAGAAGGGGAGAATAGACAACTGAAACTCACTCTTAAAATGAATTCCAGCTTGGATGTTTTTAGACGATGTTTCTCTCAAGAACCTTCTCATCTTTGATGAGCCTATTGAAGGAGAATCTCTCAAGGTCGATGGACTTATACTTAAGGTCCAGAATGAGCTCAGCTACAGCTTGTCCCACTGCTGGGGCGTGCTGTAACCCGTGTCCACTGAAGCCTGAAGCAAAGTAGAGGTTTATCACTTGTGGGTGCTGGCCAATCACAGGATTCTGATCAAACGTATTGTAGTCATAGTAACCAGCCCAGGAACTTTTTACCTGCCAGAGATCAAATTCCTGTTAGCCCCTGGACATATAATCGGTGAACTTAGTTGCAAGTCTGAAAGCTAAAGAACATAAAGCCTTGTTCTGCCCTGCTCTCCCCCCCCCCCAAAAAAAAGTTATGGAGAGCTGCTTTCTTAAGCAATTGGTTGGCCAAGCTAATTCAAGACATATCAGCAGAGGTTAGGAATTCAGTCTTAGCCACCTGCTTCCAACTGAAAACAAGCTTAAATAGAAGACTGAAATGGAGGGGAAAAATAAGAGAGAAGGGCCTGTTTCAAAACATTGAAATCCAAGGACCTGTAATGTCTGTGTGACCCTGTAAGAACCATTGAATTCAGGTTCTTGAATCTTGACTTTAAATTGATATAACAAGCAGATAAACCTTCGACTGTGCTGCATAATCTAAAAGATATAGTACCAAGTAATGTTATATACACATTTGACAATAGCAGTAAACAATTCTACAGTCAACTCACCCTACCTAAACAAAGTGTTGCAGGTAAATAATATTAAGCCCAACTCAAACTGTTCTAAGATAGGAAGTAACTGTTAGTGTATGCTTATGCTAACCGTTGCAAGGAAATTTAAGATAAGCTGTTAACTTCTCAGACTTTTTCATCACACAATATTTTACCTTCAAAGATTCAAAGCATGGCACTCGGTGGGCAAGCTTAGGCCAGACCTTTTCCTGGAAGAACTCGTGGTCTACTTCCAAATCTTGAGTATCTGGCTCTTCTTCCTGAAAAGTAAATGCAGACACTATAACCCTACCAAAAGCATGCCCACAAAGATTAAGAGCTGTTCATTTGAAGGTTGAATTATTTAACAATCTGATTTTTATCTTCAATTTATCCCGGAAAAGCAATCCTTTAAGACAGTTCATCCCACAAGGGTAAAAAAGGAACTTAAGAAACAATAGTGAAGCCTGAAACAGCAGCATGAAGTTTAAGTGGGCTTTGGGCATAATGAAAATCATATTCCAGGTTGCTCAAGAATGTTATATACAATATGAGGTAAAATTCAGGAGCTTAGATTTAAATCCCTGCTCAAACACAACAGTTCCTGCATGGTTTTCTGGCATTCACTTAAAACCTAGTCTCAGAACTGCTATTATAATAAAACTATTTATTATAAAATTGGGACAGCGGGAGGAAACCTGGGATCTTAAGAAGATAAAGAGCTTTAAGAAAGTCTTGATCCTTACTAGAACTGATAAACTTGTCACTTTGGCTCTGCAGAATCCTTACAAACTTAGTTTGCTAGTTCATTTATGAAAGAATGCAATATCAGAAAACTGTCCCAAAGCCCTAATAAACTCACTTCTGCTGGGCTTAAGCCTCCAAGATAGTTGCCACCCAAACCTTCTCTTCGGAAATATGCTCCCGTAGTGTCAATGAGCAATGGGCACTCCAAGCCGGGTCCATCAGGGCAGTGCCAGACGTAGACGTACCTAGGGGTGAAGGGTCAAAGAGATGCTTTTGCAATATTTAATACCAAGACATCCATTTACAACCTAGAAGGAAAGCAAGAATAGAAAGGAACAGATGCAAAAGAGGTAACGATACCACATGCGCTTGTATCTTGTTAGTTTCACATTCTAAGGAAAGCCCTAGCTATCATTTGGTTTGTTGCTAATATATGAAGCTGCCTTGAACCAACAGCTTTGCATTTGTCTATCCTGGTACAGTTTAGTCCAGCTGGTCGCAGCTTCCTGCTAGCTCTTCTGTCAAAGACTACTTTCCTGGCCTTGCAGCCTTAGATCTTTTCAACTTAAAAGGACAGGGATTAAACTTGGCAAAAGAGAGGCATGAAAAGTGGATACTGTAAAATGAGTTGTAGGCAAGTCATCCATTTTAAGCACTATCCACAGAATGTTTAGGGAAGTACAAGCCAAAGATGGTGAGCTACTTATCTCAAGAAGGAAATTAAAACTTATCCTGAGTAGCAGCTGAGAAACATCATGGGAACTACAGCCTTAAACTCCAATTTGAAACATATGGATCCCCCCCATCTAGCCAAAAGCATGCAACAATAATTGGCTGAATTCACGCAATACACTGTGCCAGAAATCCTAATTTAGAAACCTCAGCTGCTGAGTTCAAATGATATAATAAGCCAAAATAAACCAAGTTATGCTCTTTGGGTCAGAGAGATACATGCTGTACAAGTACGGAACTTAACTCCACCTTTTCTTGGGTTCTACTGGTAGCTTGATCCCTGATACAGTGTTTTCGGACTGAATCCCAATGCCAGCCATCTCTGCCACTCTGCCTGACCAGGCTCCTGCCGCATTTACCACCATGGCACAGTTTACCCTGGCACGTTCAATACTTTCAGGCAACCGGACCTAGAAAGTTAAGGATGACAGAAGAGCAGGGAAGTTTACACTGAGCAGTTAGATGGTCCACTAACAAACTGATACATTTCCCAACAGGACTGGGAAAGCCAAAGAGGGAAGAACAAATGAAGCATTTGCTTTACAATTAATAAAAAGGTGGCCCTGATGCTTCATGTTGGACTTCCCTTACGTCCCTCCCTCCTCCCTTTTATGTCCCAGGAGACTTCAAAATGTATCCCAGGAGACTTTAAGGACTACTGTCCAGAAACCATCCCATCTGAATGAACTTCCTAGATCTTCTCCCATGCATTAGGTTGAGAGTGTTTGTTATTCCAGCCTCCTGTGAGGTCAGTTGTAGTTTTATCTGACTGTCTGACTATCTACATACATACATACATATATACATACGTACGTACATACATACACACATACACTGGTTTAATACTTGTAAGCGGCCCAAGAGAATGAATTATGAGTTGGGTGGCCTTTCAACTTCTAGAGGTCAATCAGTCAATCAATGACAATATAAATTTAACTAATGTTGAGGCTGCCTCAGTGTGCCTCAATTGTCATTTTCTCAGCAGGCATATCCAGTCGTGCCTTTGTAATGCTTTATGTCTTGTTTCCTTGAGCCAGAGATGGAGAAGGCATCCCAGAAGAAAGCAAAAGTAAAAGTTTGATTTGATATGATATATGATATGATATGATATGATATGATATGATATGATATGATATGATATGATATGATATGATATGATATGATATGATATGATATGATATGATATGATATGATATGATATGATATGATATGATATGATATGATATGATATGATATGATATGATATGATATGATATGATATATGTCCTTCCACTGTCCCATATAGGTCAGCCCTTAAATGCTGGTGTTTGCTGCTGAGATATTAAAATATTTTTCTTCAGTCTGCCTCCTTCACCTAATGGTGCATTTGGTGACTAGCTGTGCACTGCAACATAAGCTTTCAGAAGATTCTTGCGTGAAAAATGCTTGTGAATCCATTACAACAATCTAAAATAGGGATCAGCAAGGCAACACAGATGGGCAGGCCCGTCACTTCTAACATGGCATCTACAACTCTGCACAAATACATCAAAAACTAAAAAGTAGCCCAAATTTTAGAAGCTATCATGAGATTTTGGCATTCTCACTCAAGTTCTCAAAAGAGTCAGGGTGAGACAGGAAACATATGATTTTGTGCAATTCATGAGAGACATATCTGAGCCCTAAAATCCTAGCCTAAACAGTTACTCACATTAACAGATTTGATACACGAGACTTTAAGAGGCTGATCATTATTCTTCATTTCTTGAGAAACCATGTTGAAAGCTGCAGGAGAGGGGAAAGAGATGGAGGAAACCATAACAGCAACTGCAGTTGATTCATTCCTGAAATACAAGGATTATTTAAAAAAAATTCCTTGCTGTTTACAATAATGCATTTATTTAAAACTGATATAACCCATTCTATCAGTTTACCTCTTTTATAGCATCAACCAAAACTTAAAATGTACATCTTACAAATGTTATTTTTTTTTAAAAAAAGGAATAAAACTTGCTCAAATCAGTCAATATATGCTACTGAAATGCCTAGGTAAAGTTTTTAGAATGGGGGTGGGGGTTAGGGCAAATGATAACAGTGCTAACACTGAATATGAGCCTTAGGGCACTCTGCAACTTCTCTCCTTTCTAGCTAGATGGCTGCCATTTGGCAAAGTGCCTTAGCAAATCTTACAGTTATCTTTTGCATCCCCATATCCTCAGATGGGTTCAGATTAGAACTCCAACAACGGAGCCAGACTGAAGAAAAACTGTTCAATGGTAATATGCAGACTAACATACATGCTTTCACAGAATTGCTCAAATGTTATCTGATACCTGGAATCATGGAAAGAGTGAACATCTTCTTTTTCTCCCTATTGATAAAATGTTCCGTGATAGCCTGGAGCAGGGATGGATAAAGATTTCCTAATATTCCAAACCCTAGGATGGCCAAAGAGGGATGAAGGCTGGCTTGGGAGATCCTTACACTCCAGAAAAGATGTGTTTATTTCTCCTTGCAGTGCTGATTCTGAAGCACTGATTTTTTTTCCCCCCAGTAATGACTTCAGTACAGAGAACACTGTTCTGACTCAACCCATCAGATTCTTGCCAATTCAGTTCTGGGTACTGTACCTAGAAAAAAAAGTTAGTGGTAATAAAGCTATGTACTGGCAACAGCAGGAAGCAAAAAAATAAAAAAAACAAAAAACCCTTACATGTCACTTCTCCATTGTACTGGAGCACACCCATAGAGATGGCTTTTCTCTTGAAAGCATTGAGAAGAGTCCAGGGATCAAACCAGCCCTCATTTTCCAAGCCTGAAAGAAACGACAGCAGAGGATACAAGAAAAATTCCAGGAGTACAAGCCTTGGCATTTAAATAAACAGCAAATTAGACAAGAACCAACTTCACCAGAATTCGAAGCTGTAACAATTTAACTGGGTGGGGATTAGTCTGAACCCAAGCACTGAGATTTGTAATTCATGGCTCAGTGCATGAATCCAGCCAATTGTGGTTTACTCAACAACCATGTCTGAGACAATCCTATGGGTTATTAGGAGGTGCCAAATATTAATTTACTCAGTACCATGCATAATTTTGGAGGAGTAAATGGGAGTTCTGATCTTTCTTGATAGACGCATTACTAGACAAACAAATTCAAAGTCCTTTGCTGACCCACTGATAAGTTTTGTAGAAACACCTTGTCCCCAAGGTTCTTATCTGCAGGTTTTGAATGCTTGTACTTGGTCATCGATGGAAATATAAGAGAATTAATGAATAATTGGACTAGGCATCTTTGGCTAGGTAGTTCCAAGAGAAAGAAAGAATCAGCGAAGGGATGAGACAGAAGCTTGGGCTCAATATCTAACACCAAGACTTTCGTCCCAGAAACAAGACATCCCTATTGCAGATTCGAAAGAGGTAAGTTTGTGTAAGGTAGAATTTGTTCTATTAACTAATAAGAATTTGGGAGGGGATAAATAAATGAGTGAAAGCAGCAAAGCCTCAGGATGGTAAGAACGACACATTGCTTCAGTTGAACTGGGAACTGAAGAACCAGGTGACTGAACTACTATCCACAGGCAGGCTGCAAGTTGGAAAAGAAAATGCAGGTGGGCTTTCTAATTCTGGATTCCAAGTGATTTCAGCCTACAAAAAGGGATCATTATCTTTTGGCTGTGACTGTTTAGTCAAAATAGTGAAGCCACCATTTTGCTTTAGGACAGATAGAAAGTTAGCAGTTGGTACCATAAGAAGCCAGAGCTACGCCATCAGTGTTCAACCATGGAAATTTCTTTTTCAGTTGTGCTGGTGAGAGCAGAGAGACAGCTACTCCTTCCTTTCTAATAAAAGATAAAATAAAAATAAAAAATAAAAAACTTTCATTACAACCTTCAGAGACTCAGGATATTCCTAGAAATATTAATTTTTAATCATTGAGATCAGTCAAAAGAAAAAGGCCCAAATCAGACAAGTCCTACTGAAAATGCATGAGGCAGAAAAGATTTCTCCAAAATAGACAATCTGAGAGATAAGAACTTCACCAGTCCCACTTGCTAAGAGCACGCATCGTGCAATCTCACTAAACCATGGTGGACCGACAGGTTCATTGGCACAGCTGGCAAGTCAAGAGCCAAGGAACTCATTTGGGCCTCCTCTTTCCCCTCATCCCACATCTTTTCCACAAGATGCTGGTTTTCTGCTTCCTTTGTTTTATGAGGCCTGGTCTCTCACTGCTGCATTCTTTATCATTTTTTCCTTAGGGAGAAAGATGAGTTTAATTGAAAAAGATGCTAGTTGTGAGGAGTTTAAGACCATTCTTCTGCTTTAGAATTTGGTCTGTTTGAAAAACAATAAAAGGTGAGGAAAAATTGTGGTTTGCTTAACCATCATTTTGCTCACATGTCAAAATCAAACAAGCCACATTAGAGGCCTTGTCATACCTGAATCAAGTCACTATGTTAAGTATCACACAGAATTTGACACCAAAGTACCATCATCTTTAATCAACAGTTATGTTTGTGTTCTGTGTGTGTGTGCAAGAAGCCCTTAGATATAATTTCTTTTGCTGTATTTCTTTTTGTTTTTTTCTTTTTTTACTATTGTTTTATCCTTTTTCTCTTTGTTCTGTTTTATTAATTTCTTTTAAGTACCAAATATCATAACACCCACTTTCTTTTCTTGGACTACAGAAGATGAACAGAAAATTTGTATTAGTTAAAAAAAAAAAAGTAATCTCAGTTACATAAGGAGAGAACAATTGTATTGTCGGAGACTTTCACTGCCGGAATAGGATGGCTGGTGTGGGTCTTCCGGGCTGGGGGTGGGGGCTGATTAGCATGTTCATTGTGTGAATTGTGAACCACCAGGACACATGAACAGTTCACACAATGAACATGCTAATCACCCTCAGCAGCCACTCGTTAACAACTCAAT